TGCACATCCTTCTAGTTGCTGTACGTGGGACGTGGACTCAGCATGGCCAGACAAGCCGTGTGTTGGTGCGCGCCCGTGCTCCAAACCCGGGCCACCAGTAGCGGAGTGTGCACACTTAACCGCTAAGCCACGGGGCCGGCCCAGGACAGGCATTATTGATCCCACCCTGAACTGTCTTCTGAGGGACCAAACTGAACAGTGTCTACAACATGAGGATCCTCAGACCATAAGAAATTATATCAAACTTTTTAAAGAAGACATTTCTTATGTCTTTTATAACAGCAATAATAGTTATAGTCTTATAGCTGTTTAATATTATAGGCATTGTGTACCAGATTTTATAGGTATTGTTTTTAATACTCTCCAAAATGTATGGGTGAATGTATTTTTTAAAAAATTATTACTAAAAAGATGAGCAAATCCAAGTTCTCATCACTATGGATTTCTGTTCAGCAGAGGACTGGGTTGGAAGGTGGGAGCAAGGAAAGCTAAAGGCACCCCAGTGCCTGTCTTATGCACTTATATGCCCACCAGTCTTGGGCACTGAGGAATTTCTGGCTTGTACACACAGGCATTTGCTCATGATGTCAGTAATCCAATTCTTTAGTTACTCCATACTAGTCCATCTCCTTTCTGGTATCTCATAGACTTTGCCCTTCTTGATGAAAGGGTATAAAATAGATGTTAAGCATTCATAGCGACTTTACACCCTCTCCCACCCAGTCTCCTGTAAGGCGTCTATTAGCTCTAGGAGTTTGGTGGGTTTCTCTATGGATGCTCCCCAGTCCAGAATGGGCTAAATAGTGCTGTGGCTGTTTTCTGGACACATTTTCTGCCTTGGTCCCACGTCCTTTCCAAGCTGTCCTCCCACCTCCCTGCGACTCCTCTGCCCAGCCCCATCTCACTGAGTCTCGGTGCGGAAGAGGAACTCAGCCTGGCTGCCCTGGGTGTTGTGCCGCAGGAAGAGTCGGAAGAGGTTTTTGTGAGGTCCATGTAGCTTCATTTCACACTTTTCCCCCCGGATAGAGGAGAAGGGAGCATGGTCAAATACCAGGAATCGGCTACCCCTGCAAAATACAAGTCTTTTCAACCTGATTCTAGAGTTGTCATGCTTCATCCACCCTCATATCTTTTGATTCAGAATCCGTGTTCTTAGCATCTGGGCAGCCTGCATATTCTCATAAAAACCATAAGATGGTGCTAACTTGCTCCCAAGATGGTAGCTCCAGAGTCCCCAGGAATTTGTCACCAGCTTGGCAAACCACACATCTAGTGCAATGGATACTTTGCCATTTTAAAGAGTTGAAGAGAGAACCAATACAAATTGTCTAAGGCCCTTAGGCCCAAAGAGTCAGGATCTGGAATTGGCTAAGTGCTTCTAGGCTAGCAGCCTGAGCCTAGCCCAAAGAAACCTCAAATAGACCGATGGAGTATGTGATAAGCTAATTTGCTCTATTTTGCTCCGTGTCTGTAACACAACATGGGTCCTACCATTTGATTTCATACATAATTAGGCAGGATCCCCTTTTTTGCTTTGGATGTTTCTTTCTCTTCATTAGGCCGTGACCTCCACACCATGGGTTGAACCATTGAGAAGGGTTCTTTTAGGAACATGACCCTTCTCTGTCCCTTTTAGTCCTTCCCTCTTGCCTCATCCCATTTCCCTCTTGCGCCCTGGCCTCCCATTCCAGTCACTGACTCTCGGGGCCGAGACAGCAACAGACAGTCATTGAAGAGATGCAGGTGGATTGGACGCGTGTTCAGTTTCCTTCGCAGCCCTGGGGAGGCACTGAACTCAAGGGCTGTCAGCTCTCCACTCTTCACCAGCCAGCGAGACTGTGAAATGAGCGGGAATATCTACAGGGTAGGGGAAGACAGAGAAGGCAGTGTCACAGACAGGACAGCATGAGGCTTCCTCTCAGTCCTCCCTTCCTAACCATGCCTCTTTCTCCTAAGTTCTGCCATTGACATTCCTCTCCTCCACATCTTCCCTCTTGCTCATAACCCATCTACTTAGACTTGATTTCTCTCTGAACCCTCTAACTACCAATGTCCACTGCTGTACAGCTCCTATGTCCATAGCTCAGGCAATGGAATGTGCCTATGGTCCAACCCAGGATAGCGACTATATGAGAAAGCTCCTCCCTAGAAGCTTGAACTGAAGAAGAGCCCAATCAGGGCATGTGAAGGAACAAGGCAGGGAACAGCATGATGTGTGTCTTAACGTCAAAAGATTTGAGAAGTTCTGACATCTGTTCTTTCTTTGATTATAACCAGAGACATGAGAGAAGCAGTTGGAATCACATGTGGGAGTGAGAATAAGGAGAACTAGGTGGGGTCTGCTTGGAGCTGGAATTTGGGTAAAGATAAGGGTACCAGACTATGATTAATATGTGGATAAGCTTTTCCCTCTCTTCCAGGGAGATGAAGATGGTATTTGTTCTGAGTTGGAATTTGAATGTAGACTGTCTATTTTAGATTTGTACTTGGTTGGGAGATTTTGGACCTATATTTGGATTCAATTTTACATTTCTTTGGTAAAAGTAGATGGAGAGTTGATAAAATATTGAATGGTTCAAGCACCAAAAATATATCTTCATAAAGGTTTACACTGATAAATTCTCCCTCATCTGCCCAGTTCCCAAATGAACACTCTCTCTTTCAGGTAACCACTGTTCTTTATTTCTTATGTATCCTTCCAGATTTTCTTTATGTATATACCAGAAAATATACATACAAATTTGTATCCTCCTACTTTTTCACCAAAGGCAATATATTATAACACACACAGTTCTGTATCTGCCCATTTCATTTAACAATATACCATGGAGATTGAAGTAGGTATTCAGGTATCCTAGAAATAGGACAGAACAGAAGGTGTGCAGAGATGAGGTTAGAGACTAGGACTGTGTGAGCAAGATGGTTCTATGTTAGAGGGTGACCTGTGGGATAAGCTAAAGAGTTTCATGGGCAGGGTGGGGGGTTAGGGAATAACTCACTTTGCACTCAAACTCAATCTTCTGGCTCAGGTAGATCAGCTCCTCGGTCCGTCGCATGCTCTGGACGTTGTTATTGCAGTCTCGGATCAGCTGAGTGTTGAGCAGGGTGAGGAAAGAGGAAGAGCACTGTGTTAGAGGCTTTGACCTTTGAGTCCCCTGAAAGAAATCTGGAAATCGGTTGTGAGAGCCTCAGTCTTTTCTACCAGGCTAAAATTGCATGAAGGCAGCATCAAGTTGAAATTCTAGGACTCTGGTATGCTTTGTATGACCTGATAAAACATTCCTGGACTGGGTGAAAGGAAGATTTAATCTGGGGATTGTGGTAGTGAGAGCAGAGTCCCTTGGTGTGGAGTGCCCTCCGTGTGGGAGAGGAGGCTGTGGGGTATGTATGTTTGGAGGTTTGGTGGATGCAGTGAGGTGGCTGAGCAATCCCATTGGCAGGGTCCTGTGCTTCCTGGAGTCATGGGCCTGGACAAGGAAAAGTTCTCTGTGAAGGACAATCAGGGCATCAGAGTCAGGGTGGTGGCTGCCTACCTCCTCCAGGGCATGGTGTGCCTTCGTGGCCTCAGCTTCCTCTGAAGAGCCAGGCTGTGTTCTCTTCAGAATGTTCTATAGAACAAACAGTAGGTAGGAGCCAGAAGGAAAGAAGGGATGGGAAAACAGGAAGAGGTGATAGGGGTGGGCTAATAGAAGAGGTGATTGGGGGTGGGCTAATGGAGAATTCTGGAAACAAAATTTTAGCAGCAAATTCACCCTGAGAAAGGAGGATGTGGGAAGTGAGGAGACTGCTCACGTCATCCACAGGGTGTGGAAGAGTGGCAGAAGAACAGATAGTCTTGGGACTTCCTGGGATCATCCCTTTGAATTGAAGGGAGAGGACCCAGGTAGGATCTGCTGTACCTGGAGCAGCAGTTTAAGACGAGTGATGCGCTGGAAGGGCAGGATCAGAAAGGACTTGAGGGAAAGGCGTTGGCAGATGGGGTCACTCTCCAGCTTCTCCAGGACCTCTCGGAAACTGCTGTTGGTATTCCTGCATGGGCAGCAAGCCTCAGGTGAGGAGGGATGTGGGGAGTATTGGAGGACACAGCGAAGGCATGGGGAGTGGAGACTCAGTGGAATGTCTGTGGGTTGGGAAGGAATGGTGGGATTCAATGTATAGGGGGCCCAGATGTAATGGCTGAGGGCATCTGATCTGGTAGGAAGGTTAGAACTTAAGATCACAGAGCAGGCACAAGAACATGTGCTCCTGGGATAGCACTCTGGGTTGGGTGTTGGGGGTTTTGGTGCAAGGTCATTGCAGGGCCCACATGGGGACTGAATGGGATTGGGTCTCACAGCAGTGTTTGGAAGGTGCGTTCCTGGTAGGTCTGGTTGGTGACATAAGGCAGGTAGACCCGGCGGAAGTTGGGGGCATGGTTCAGGACTACATCACACACTTGGAAGGTGAAGATGTTGTTCTCGAAGTTCTCCTCCAGGTCTGAAAGGAACCTGTACAGCATCCAAACAAGTCTCATGAGACTCGTGAGCCTCACGTGACCAGTTGGCTGACCCCTGCTATACCTTGAGCTTGTGACTTCTATTAGTAAATAACTTCTATTGACTGTCCTGAGCTCTGTGCCCCTTGCTGTGCACTAGGGCTGTCCCCAGTTTACCACTGATCTAACTCTCTGGTCCTGTTATTCCATTTCTTGTTCTTCTTTTGAACCTGTTCTGGTTTTCTGATCTTTAGATGCTTCCCACATCTCAAATGCAGTGCGGCCCACAGTACATCCAAAACTTCAACCCAGGAGGCATTTCTCATTCACTTATTTATCCATTAATGGATCTATCCACCTACACACTCTCTCCTCTGCTTTCCCTATTCATATGACCATTGGGAATCATGGAGGGAGCAATGAGAGGGTTTCTGAGAGAGAAAAAAAACAACTGAAGGTTTATAGGCTAAAGATAGTGAGGCTGAGCAAGTGGCATTTGGAAGCAGAGGAATCTCACATGGTGCTGACATCACGCACATCCTGTAAACGAGAGAAGAGCCATTGGTGATCCTGGTTGGAAAGAATGGCCTTGAGCTGCTCTGAACGTTGGAAATGATCCACAGCTATATGCAGACTGCGCAGGTATGAGGCTTCTGACACAATCAGCTCAAATTTGGCCTAGGAGGTTGAGGAGGAGGAAGATTGATTAAAAACATTTCTTGAGTCCCTGGTGTATGCTAGCCCCTGTGTAAAGTTTTAGGGGTAGAACAATGAACAAGACAGATTCTTTTATAGCTCACAGTCATACCAGAACCTAATCTAAGGTAGGGGGGACAGGAAAAGAGCATTTGAGGCCAAGGGAAGAACATGTGAAAGCCTCCAAAGGTGTCAGAGAAAAAGATGCTTTCAAGAAACTTAAATAAATTGAGTGTTTTTGGAACCAAGCATACTATAGTAGTGGCAGGAGATGAAGCTGGAGAGGCAAACAGAGACAAGGTCTGGAGGATTATGTAAACAAGGTAAAATAGTTTGGACTTACGACAATGGGAAAACAAAAAGAGGCTTTATGTAGGGAAACAACTTGGCCAGATTTGTTTTTACAAAGATATTTCTGAGCACAGTGTGGAGAAAAGATTGGAAGGGCCAAGAGAGCCACGTTAGGAAACTTCGCAGTAAGTCCAGATGAGAGATGAAGGCCAGAAGAGCCACAAGGATGGGGAGAGGTATGCAAATTTCACAATTATTTAGGAGGGAGATTTGGAAGGACTTGGTTATTTGCTAGAATGGGGGCTGAAAGAGAAGGAAAAGTCACAGCCAAGGCCTCAGTTTTGGAGTTTGGTAAATGGGCAGACGATGGAGTCACTTAGAGAACTTTAAAAGAGGACAAGGTTTAGAGGATGAAGGTGATTTGGGATTTGAGGAGAAATGGAAGGAAGCAGGATATTTGAGAATGAGATGATGCAGTTGTGGCTTCATGGAAATCGTCCAGGACTTGAGATCCTGTTTGGAGGTTTTGGCAGGGGGCACAATGACTCACGGCCCTGTCCTTCTCTAGCTAGGCTGGTCATGCTCTTCATCCAAGCATGCAGCTTCAAGATACATGCATGGATAGAAAAATGAAAGAAGACACCCACACCTCAGTGATGACTTGGATAACTGATGACACGGCCAGATGACCCTCACATACAACAACACTAACAGGGACACTGAAGGTTCAGGTTTGCCTCCTGGCTCTAAAATATGCTGACTATATGATTTTGGGTGGCTCATTTAATCTCTGAGCCTCAGTTTTCTAATATTCTTGTGTAGATATAATGACCCCCACCTCACAAAGATGTTGTGACAATCAAAAGAAATGGAGTCAGTCAAAGCACTTTGTAGACCCCAGAAGTGCTATTTTATGAAAGGAATATGTGTGCACAAGAGGTCGAGGCATAGAGGTCTCTCTTCTGAGAAATGTGAGATCAGGGCTGGCCCAGGAGCCCTCGCGGACTTCCTAGTATGCTGGAGTTGGTGAAAGAGAGCTAGAGCACATGTCATCTCCCCATTGTTTGGTCCATAAATATGGGGCAGATCAGTGATTTTCTAAATATCCTCCACGTGCTTTAAAAGTTGAGGTCAGAACAGGGCCCCCAAGTCTGAGCTTCAAAACACCTAAATATTTATATCTGTCTTTGTTTGACTTGGTAAGAGCATTGTTTACCCGTAAATCCTTCTGGCCAAAACTTCACTCCTTCTCACCTCTGAAAGGGGGAGAGTATGGCACTGCTATGTGTCACACTCTGTACCAGACACTAGGCTAAAAACCAGATATGTTATTTGATTTAAACTGCACAGCAACCCTGAAAGGTTGACATTATTATCCTCAATTTTTAGGTGAGCAAGCTGAGATTTAGTGAAGTTATATAACCTCCCTAAGGTTAGACAGCTAGTAAACAGTGGAGCCAGGATTCAAAATCAGGTCAGCATGACTTGACCTTAAAGCAGTAAACATAGAAGCTCTCCACGTAAAACCTATTAATGGCAATAACATCAGACAAACAGCCTCTACTACAGTCTTGCTATTGGGAGTGACAACCAAGCAGAGACTGATGGTCATTCAAAAGCCTCTGTGAGACCAATGGACCACAGGACAGCTGCAAGGGGCACTCTTGAAGGAACGCAACAAAAGCCCCTACATGTGCCTTGTTTGAAGAGGAAAACTTTAGTGTAGCCTGAAACCCTGGTTGAGCGGGGAAATTTTTTAGTCTAAGCAGTAGTGATGAGATTAATTCCACATTCTTCCCAAGAAATTCAGAGGCGTGGTCACTTTTTATGAGCTTAAACCAGTAATGGGCAGGAGTAAAGGGCCCATAGCATGAGGAGATGGAGAGGAGGGAGAGTGGTGACATTCAGAAAGCAGTTCAAATCCATCAGAGTGGAGATGACCAATAGTCATGATGTGCATGAGTGTGTGGTGGGGACAGCCTGCTCTCAGTGGTGGTGATGAGTATGAGATAAGGATGCAAACAAATGAGACTTTGCTTTCCCTCCTGTATCCCCTTCCCCTGCCCGCCCTGCCCCGCTGTGTACCTCTTGCAGTTTTTGGTCTTGATGGGTCATGGAGAGCAGCACGGTGCTATTGCGCACCACAGGGATTTCCTGCCAGAGGGAGCCTCTGGAGGCCATGGAGAGGCGCTGCAGGTAAGACTCTGAGGAGACCAGGGCCTTTCGGGGCTGCCGGGGGGAGGCGGGCCCAGGTGCCTCTGCCAAGCTGTCCAGCCGCTGCTGGCTCTGAATCTCCTTGTTCAGAACCACATCACTATACTCCTGGTACAGCAGCTGAGCTACAGCAGTGAAGAAGCGTGGGAGAGGGAGAGAGTTAGGGAGACAGGGGAGTTGAGGCACAGAAACAGACAGAAGCCACCAAACTGCTTCTGGCTCTCCTGCAATTCTGTCTCCCTATAGATATCACCACCCCACTGCTGAGAGCCATGAGCCCCTCTCCAGTCTTGGGCAGAACACCCAAGTGGGTCTGTGGTTCTGTCTCAAGGTACTCACAGGAGTTGATGAGCTTCGAGCGGCGCCTTGAGAAGCCTCCCATCAGCTCCTTTGGTTTTTTCTCCCTGTGGAGTAGAGAAGGGCTCTGGGGTGCTCGCTGGCCATTAGATACAGAGAAGCCCCAGGTAACTGTAGATGAGATAGTCTTTAAACTCTCAGTGCAGGGATGTCAGGGCCAAATCCCCTGACGAGGCAAGTTGTAGCCTGACCCACTTTTGGGTAGTTTGGAGTTTTCTTGGATGTCATGTTGAACCTTTATAGGAGGTTTAGTAAATGGCCAAACGGATGGGAGACTTGGACTCAGCTGACAGAAGCAGGTATATAAAGGATCTCTCTACCGTGGAATCCTGATGTCTGTCTCTTCCCCTCCCCACCCCTGGAAAAGACAGGGTCCCAGAACCCTTGTCAACTAATGGACATCTCAGAATCCTAAAAAAAGAGAATACAGGTGTGTCTGTTAGGAGAGAGGGTAACTCACCGAAAAACAATGGTGTCTGAGAGGACAGGGAATCTTTCCACGGCTGGACCTCTTATATCTGAAAATGGAAATGGGTGAAGTAACTGAGATTTTAGAGGGACTTTCAGAGAGCTGAAGAAGGTAAGACCTAGAGAGGGAGATGCAGGCAACTGGGGGTTGGGGGGTGGAATGAAAGAGCTCCACTAGGAATCTGTGAGGGAGGGAAGTACCAAAGGAGAAAGCATCTGAGGACACTAATACCCTAGTACTAGGGACATCCCATCCCTCATGTCAGAACATGAATCAGACAAGTAGAGGATGTCTTCTCTACTACTAGGAGGACATCAAGCAGGTGTTGGTAACTGGAAAGAAGTGGGGGTCCAGAACAACCCTGAGAAAAAGAGATACACAATAAAAGAACATCATGGTTGGGTGATGGAGAGGGAGGGGAAGGAGAAGGAAGAGCATCGTGAGCTCAGAGAGGCTCTCTGGGCTTCCTTCTATGGTGGGGTTGGGTATGTGGGTGAGTGAAACCAGCAGAGGGAACAGCAGGAGCCCCTGACAGAAGATGGATGAGGTGGTAAGAGGTGGAGAAAGCTTGGTCTGATGTGAGTGTCCCTGTTGTCCTTGCTCACCTGAAGAGCCCTCGGGCAAGATGGAAGGTCTGCGTAGGCCTTGCCGGTTCCAGCCCTTGTGCTTATTTGACCCCTCATCAGGGACTGCAGCCTGTCCACTGCTCCCTTCCTGTGGTCTCCCCGGGTCCCGCCTGTGGGGGCAGCTGGACGCCTTCTCCAGATGGGGATGGCTAGGTTTTTCTGGCTGCCATGCTCGGCCTACGTCTGACCTCCTCAGGCCATTGGCTCCTTCCTGAGGGGCTGTTCTTCTCAAAGATCCTCTGGCAGGGGTCTCAGACCCTTCTGAGAGCCCTGGTTCAGAGGTGGGTCCCTGGGGCTCCAGAGGCCAGGGGCTGCTGGGGGAACCGGGAGTCAGAAGAGCTGTCATGTTGCTGAAAGCCATGCCAGGGGACATTTCACTCTTACTCCTACTGGTGGAAGCCAAAGAATCTGTTGATCTGCCCATGGCTGGGGGCCAGGAAGTACGTCCAGCAACATGAGGAGTGGAGACGGTCCACTCTTGACAAACAGGCCTTGGCTTGGCTTGAACCCCTGAATTCATGAGTCCTCCTTTGGTGCTCCTGCTTTTCCCCCTGGACTTTGGGGGTAACGGGGGTGGTTCAGTGGGAGAATCCATGATAGGGACAGGGGGTAAAGGCCTGTAGACTCTTGGGCTAGTGGAAGAAGAAATGGAAGAATGGTGGGGCTGGGACGAGTCAGGAGTTGGGGGTAATGGCTTGTTGTATCTCAGCCTTGGGGGGAAAGAGGTCCGAGCATGGTGGGGAGTGTCCGGGGTAGAGGGCAGAGGTCGGTGCTGCCTTGCCACAAGGGATTCAGGAACTTGGGGAATTGGGCCTTTGGTGGGGCCATGTAGCTCTGAACCTAGGGCTAATGGAGGATGATGGCTACATTGTTTCAGTGTGGGGACCACTGCATGGAGACGGCCATCTCTCTCCACCATGGAGGAGTGGACGTGCCTCTTCTCTGGAGGAGGCGGGGGTGGAGGTTCATGGATCCTCATATCTATGGAGACTGGGGGTGGAGAAGAGACACAGGCAAGAGACCCTGGGGCTAAGTCTGAATTACGTGGGGAGCCCCATGGCTGGCTGCTGTGGGGACTGCTGGGCCTCTCTGGATGTGAGGTGAATTCTTGAGAGTCCTGCCCTGGAGCGGATAATGACCTAGAAGATTCTGGAAAGACGCTGCAGTCCCTTCCACTTCTCCTGTCCCTTCTTGGGATCACAGAGCCATAGATGGCAGGTTTGGGGGGCCTCTGGGGTAACTCTGAATGGGAGAAGGAAAATGATAGTCCCACCAGGTCTGGAATCAGCTCTGTCCTGTGAGAGCCCGGGAAGGAGTTGCTCCTTAGGTGTTGGACAGCCCCTGTGCAGTTGGCTAGGGGGCTCTGAGGGCTGGCCCAGTCGGAGCTGGCACATGGGTCCATGGTAGCCTCTGCAGATGGGAAGCCATGGAAGGCAGCCAGTGGAGTCTTGGAAGCCCCACAGGGAGACGGGTTGTCAGTCGAGAGAGAGGTTCTGGAGGTTTCTGGTGAACATGCAGCAAGAGAGGGCTCCCTCCTGGGAAAGGCAACTGAGGAGCTAGCAGATGATGAGGCAGTGGTGCTGGGGGAGACTTCAGTAGGACTGGAAGGTGCTGAATCTGGTGTCCTTGGAGGAGTCACAGAGGTCTTGGCAGAGGCCACCTCAGTCCCCTGGCTGGATGCTGTCCCCTTCCCCAGCTCGGATCCTTCTTGCTGGCTGTCTTGACTTGTTTCTTGGTCAGGCGACTCCCCAGCAGGAAAGGAGCTAGGTACAGAAATGGGCTGGTGGGACCATCCTATTGGCTCCAGTGTAGGAGACAGAGCTTTGGGGCACAGTTCCTCAGCCCTAGGCTCTGTCTGAGTCCTGGGAATCCTGGTCATGGGATAACAGGTGTCCGGAAACAAGTCACAGGGAGAAGACACCTCAGGGGCTACCAGTGCCACTGTGGAAGGACCATCATGCTCTTCCCCCTCTTCTGGATTCCTTTCTCCTCCCACTCCCCCTAGTGCAGCCCCACCCCAATTCCCTGGGTCCTCCTTGCTTGATCCCACCTCCTCCTCCTGGGCCTCTACTGGCATCAATGTCCCCCATAGACCCTGGTCTTCTTGCTTTTTAGTTACTTCCACTGATTTCCCCACTAAGCTTTGATTCTCCTCATACTGAGTGTCCACTCTACTTTCTTCTGGCCCCCTCCACTCCCTCTGCCTCTGTCCGCCCTGTTCCAGATCTCCCTGGCACTGAGTCCTCCTCTCCCACTCAGCATAATTCAGACTTCCCAATCCCCCATTAAGCCCCTCTCTTTCTCCTTGTTTGGCAAGCATCACATCATCTTGTATCTGCTCCTGTTTTTGCTTCTGTTCTTCCTCTGTATCATTAACCTGCTGTCCCATGTGTTCCTGCTCCCCTAAATGCCCATCAGAACAAACATCCTCCCCCAGACTTCCTGCTCCCTGAAATCCCACTTCCTCTTGTCCCTGCGCCTCCAGCCCCTCAGCCTCCTGGGGACACATGAGCCCTTCTCTCCCTTGGATTTCCTGCACCCCCATAGACTGTAGCTCTTCCCCCTGCCTGACGGTTCCAATTTCAGAGTCCTGTGGCCGGCTGGTCTCTGCAGGGTGCTCTTCACAGGAAGGCCAAAATCTGGTCTGAGCAGAGGTGTCTGGAGAATTGTTTTCCTTCTCTTCTGCTTGTTCGGTTCCCAATATCAACGAAGTGAGTTCTGTTCTAAATTCCACCTCCATTCTGCTGCCCAGTTCACTGGATATTGGGACCATGTCTAGATGTTCCCCTTGGACAGGGCAAGCCCAGAGCTCTGGGGGAGCTAGTGTCTCCGCCTGTCGGTCTGCCAGGCTCTGAGGCACTGCCTCCTGGCGCTCTGGAGTGTCACAAGCCTCAGCCATAAGGTTGTCCTGGTTGGTCTCCACATCTGCAGAGGCTTCCTTGGGGAAAGAAATCATACTCTCTGTTGCATAGTCATTCACATCCCTTAAATCTCTCTGCTGGGTCTCCAAGAGTCTGCGTCCCTCTGCCCACTTATAGGATGGGTCCTGGCCTTCTTGAGCTTCAGGCCCCAAGGCAAGGGTTTGGCTGCTTCTCATAAGAGCTTCAGGGATAGCATCGAATTCCGCTATGTCAGGGATAGAAGTTGAGGCTCCATGTTGGGGCTCCTCATCCTCCATCAGGGCTGAATCCTAAAGAGGAATAAAAGATAAAGTTTCTGTCACCTCTTCTGCTTTTACCTATCAGAGGAATAGACCAAAAAGAACAAGAGTGGGACATTTCTTTGGTTCCATTTACAGGCATTCTTTGAGAAGAAAGTTACTCGACAAAATAAGCAATAGCCTCTATAAAACTTATCATTTATTTATTCATTTAATAAATATTTTCCCAGAGCCCCTTTTAAGTGTGGGTCATTCAGTAGTGAACGAGACAAAGACAGTGTCCTCATGGAGCCTGCACTCTTGTGGGGGAGACAGATAATAAAGAATTAAATTAGAGCATAAGACCATTGCCAGAGTAACAAGTGTTCCCAGTGGTCATGACTCCCCAGATTGTATTATGTCATATAGTCTCTCTCTGTTACTCTCTGGACACCAAGAATGACTCAGTCTCATATAACTCCCAGACACTATGAGTGACACACCTTAGATCTAACAGCCCAGAGAAGCAGTGTCTGGAGGGGGATCATCCTCCTAAGCTGTTGATGGGGGATTAAAATAGGTCTGGCCATTACAGCCAATGTCCGAGGTACTAAAGCATTGTGTGATCTCCTTTATACAGGGTCTGGATTTTACTATATCTTATTTGCCATAGTGTCTAGCAGAGCCTTGTAACTAATCAACAATTTTGTGTTCAATTATAGAGACAGCTGTTATAAAGTGGAATGATAACTAGACTTATTAGAACCATAGTAGATACAACGGTTACCCACTTCGACTACATCCATAAAAGTGTGTCACCCTCATTATCTTACTCTCCCCTTCTCTCCAACAACTTTGTAAACTCTTCTCATTACTTCTCAAAATTTTGACCTTCTCACCTCTCTTCTCACTTCCCACAGAATACCTCATATCCTAATTTGCAAAGAATTTAGAAACCAATGGAGAAGAACTGCTTCAGTTTCTTGCAATTCACAGTGACGTGCATTTCGCTTTTTCCATCTGTCCTCCTCTGGCAGCGCAAGATGTGTCCCCTCTTTCCAAGGCCATCTTCTTTAGCCTGCTGTCTCAGGGACCTTATGCTATGGGTCAACTCTTCCTCTCACAACTTCATCTTCTCTGTTAGAACCACCCCAACAGAATTTAAGTTTGTTCATGTCTTTCTCATCTTTCTAACTCATGAAAGGAGATATTCACACCTGCTGTCTTCATATCCTCACATCTCACCTACCTCCAACCAAACTTCATTAGCACCACTCTGCCCACCTCCCCTACAATCTTCAAGTTGTTTACTCCAAAGGAGATACTATGATGCTTATTTTGGTGATTCTTGTCAGTGTTTGACACTACTGACATTAGAAAAACTCTCTTTCTTGTTATTTGTGAGACTCCATTTCCTGGTTTAACCCCTTCAGTTCCCCAATCCTCTAACTAGGTTACTTTACTCCTCTTTGTACACTTATCAACCATAGTTCACTTTACCTCTGCCTTGTAGCATTTATACAATTGTAATTATATAATTATGTGTGTATTTTGATTATCATCTATCTCAAACAATAGGTGGTAAGCTTCACGAGATCAAGAACTATATCTGTCCTGCTCAGTTGTCTATACCTGGCACAATACCTGGCCCATACTAAGTGCTCAATAAATATTTTTCAATTATAAAATAAATTTCTTGTTTCCCTCCTGGCCCACATTCCCTATATCTAATCAGTCACCAAGTCCTGCTGACCCCGCCTCCTAAATATTCCTCAAGTCTGTCCACTTCTCTCCATCTCCACTGCTTGGCCCTGGTGCATGCTGCTGGCCTCTCACTCAGGCCACTGCACCTGGGGCACAGCCTGGCCACTGGCCTCCACACAGCTTCTCTTGCCCTATTTCCAAGGCACTCTCTACCCAGCACCTGAGTGATCCTTAAAAGCCCGCTTCTAGTTTAAATTCTTCAGTAGCCTCTGACTGCCACTGGGATCAAATGCAAATATTCAGCATGGGTTATATGCCCTCCACAACCTGGCCTCTGCCGCCCCCTCCAGCAGCCTCATCACCTGTCAGGACCTCCCCCACCCCACTGTGTTTCAGTCCCTTTAGCTCACCTCCCTCTCTCTCATCTGTAGGCCTTCACATGTGCTGCTCCTCTGCCTGGAATCCTCTTTTCCTGCCCCAGAAAACCCTTTGCTTCTTCTCTCACACTCATTGCACTTGTAGTTACATATCTGTTGTCTGGGCTAGACCATGAGCTTCATGAGGGCACAAACAGTGCCATATTAACTGCTCGGTGCCCTCTGCCTGAGGCTCAAATGGCCCTCGACAAGGATTTATTGCATGAATGAAGGAAGGGAGAACACAGAGTTAAAGGGGGTTGTTCAATTTTTAGTTCTGCATTTTTTGTATCTTGCTAATTTTAAGACAACTGTAGAAATCCTTTATTTGATATTCTATTTTCTTTTAAACGGATTATCCATTTTCTTGGATATCCATTTTCTTGGGTATCCAAATGATTATCCATTTTCTTTTAAAAAGGGGATAAAATACTTCCTTTGCAAGGAGTTCTAATGAAGATTAAATAAGATAACACAAAAAAGTACATTGCTAACTTTAAGGGTCATAGAAATGTTAGGGATTGTAATTATTGTTGATGAGAGAGAGAGTAAGTGTAAGAGAGAAATATAGGATTTATGAGCTGGAAGGACCTTTAGAGACACACAGAAAACTTTGCTTAATTTACAGATGAGGAAACTGAAGGTCACTTGCTCAAATTTCCTAAGCAAACGGTACAGGTGAACTCAAACCAAGGTCTCCTGACTGAAGTCTACTATAAGCAACCAGAAGCCCAGCTGTAAAAAAGCTGGCAGGTCACGAGCCTGGGGAAGACCCCGGGGGCCTATGGAACCCACAGCAGCACCTGGACCCGCACCTTTCTTGTCTGGCCTAGGCTTAAAGTGGAAGCCCCCTGCCCAAAACGCCTGTTTTCCTGCTGAGGTATTGCACATGCATACATGCTTGCACGAGCACACATCCACACGCACATCACACACATACACACACACACACATGCAATAAGCCACCCTTGCAGTTTCTATGCAATAGAGCCTGACATAATTAAACAGGCAGGTCCCTAGCCACCCTGCAGACGTAGTATGTGACAAGTTCCAGGCCACCCCATAGACACAGATACCATCTCGATGGGCCATGTCTACCATAAGTGTCCTTGTGTAGAAGGACTTTTATGGCCTTTTCCAGTTAATTGACACAGTGCGTGATTTGTTCCCTATTTCTAGCCCTAAGTACAAAATACTATAATCACTATGGATGATTCTGTGACCTGACTCTATTCTCTCAACCACGCGTTAAATAATATACTTGCTCACTGTAAACACTTTCTGAAACTTGGCTCCTACCTGCCTAAGGAGACCGTGGGACTAAACCTGTAGTCTCCCCTTACCCACATCTATACTGTCCTGTCACTGTACCCATATACACCGTCATGTCCTCACAACAAGCAGTCTCTCAGTATATAGGTGTGTTTCTGCTCTATTTAGGCTATATCTATATACACCGTGTGCTACATGGACATCTTCAGTTCCATTCTAGTGACACAATGCAAGTCTGTGTCCTGCAACCCCACTGACATTATTTCTAATACTATCTTTATCCATTTGGACATATTGGTGGTCACCAGCTCAGCCACCATTTCCCTATACTTGATCTTGTCCTAGTAATCCTATTACGATCAGGCAATACAAACCTAGAACATGACAAAGCTAAAGGAAGTCTGTAAAACATAGTTTTACTCACATAAAGACATCAAGAGAGAGTTTTTTTGCACTGCCCGTTATGGGGCTGCCACCTCATTTCCTCTCCACTGGCGGTGAATAATCACTATTTGTCTGAGCACAGCATCATGGTGCATGAGCATGGCATCATGGTGATCTGGGCTTCCTCCAGACCAGAGACATTTTATTTTGCATCTGCTGACCCCATCTACACGGAACTTCTTTTGAGATAAAGCTCCAAGTCATCCCATTAACAGTGTGTGACAGAGCTCAGTAGCTCCCTCGGAGCCCCTCAACACCTTAGCTCTTGTCCATTTCTAGGCACGAGACATAAAATTGTATTTCAAAGATATCTCCTCCCCCTCATCACACTACTTATTCTTTGAACCGATGTCGAGTGCCATGTGTATTTTTGAGGACCATATTTCCTGGATTTTCTAGCAGTGTCTGTTTTGAATACTCTGACTTAACACCACAAATTACTAAAATATTCTTGAGGTTACAATACTTCTGCATTTACACTATATCATCCATACTGCTGCTCACCTTAGGAAAACATCCCCCAAATCAAAAGATATATGTTCTAATTTTGATTTAGAAAATATGACCATCACATAGATGTATGCCTTTATTCACTGTTTGACTTTACTGCTCCCAATGCTACAAAGATATCAAAATAAGAGTAGCTTTCTGGACGACTAACTGCTAAGACCAGTGTTTATTCACTTTACGAAAGTCTCACCATCCCAGTGAAAACTGTAATAAAAATCTCTTAGCTATTCCCTAATGTCTGAAAATATCACATCATCCACTGTCTTGTAGACAGTTGGTCTTACAGAGAACATCTCTAGTGTTAATGCTCACATACACCAAGCCTACCTGTGGCCCCGGCACCATCCACAAAGATAATGTGAGTGTGAGTGACCTGTTTGTGTCCTTCACAAAGACTGTGAGGATGAGCTCGTTCTGGTCCACCTTGCAGACACTAAATGACCAGCTCCTGTTCACTCCACAGACATGGTGAGTGACTCAGCGCCTGTCCACACCAGATGCTGTAAGTCACCTGTTTGGATCTGTACCACCGACACTTGAGTGACACTGCTCCTGTTCAACCCATGACCCTGTGAGTGACCCCGTTCTTGTCCACACCACACAGTGACTGACCACTCCAGACACAAGGAATGACATGTTCCTGTCTATCCCACAGATGCCATGCTTAATGTGGCCACAGACAACCTCAGACAGACCACAGTGTGGGCAGCCATACCCTTTAGGGACCCCTAATATATGAAGACTCTTGACTATATTTAGAATCACTGTATTCTTTTGATAAGAGGGATTCCTTTGCACACTTCCTGACTCCTCTTTCCTCCCCACTAGCGTAATGACATACATTCCTCTTGCAGGGCAGTGTCACTCAGAATCGACACCCCCTATCCTTCCCTCTCCCCAGCCGTTGCCCCACGAGCCCCCTCAGAAGACATGGCTTCAGTTTCAGGCTCACCAATTGGTTAACAAATGATCCCCACTTTGCTAGGGCCTAGGATACCCCAGGTGTGCATAAGAAAGAGGCCACATGAGGAGCTGTTTAGTGAGGGGCTGGGATTTCTAGAGTAGGCCAAGGATGCAAGGGCTTGGAATGCAGTGGGGGAGCAAAAGAGGGAAGAAGCTAGAAAGGAAAGTCACCCCCTCCCTTGTCTGTTTGACATACCCTTTCCCCTCAATCTGACAAGAGTCCTGGCCAGAGTTCACTCCTAGGTGGACAAAGAGGGACAATCTGTCTTGGGAACCCAGGCTCCAGGAAGGAGAGAAGGGCCTGAGATCTGAAAAGCAAGCGGCATCAGGATCAGCTCTCCTAGGGCAGTCTTGCTGGAAGGCAATTATAAATGATGCTCAGAACTAGAGCCTGAACCAGGTTCTAGCACCCCCATCCCAACCTCCAACTCTTAACAGCTCCCTTCGCGCCTCCCCAAGTTCAAAATGCAGTGTGGTGATTAACACGAAGCTTTGGAAGTACTCCCAGTATAGGCGGAAATAGGGTGGGGGGCAGGGCAGGAGTCATTTTTACAGGTTAAAGCACCCTGGCTACCAGGGGGAGGTGTGTACTTAGACATACGCAGAATGCTAATCCATAGGAAGATAAAGGAAGGCAGGCCCAGGCCTGGTTAAGAAGGAGACAATGAAAGATCTCTAGGTTGGGAGCGCATTCACAAGGGAATCTCAGTCATCCCTTATCATAGGGGTTAGCTTTCCCCAGGGCCTAAACTTTGAAGAAAGAGCCCTGATTATTGGCCGGGGGATCTGGGGGCAGGGTGCCCATTTCCAAGGTAGAGACCAGGCCGGAAGCAAGTTTTTCAGGCAAGAGTATTTCCTCCAGCTTCCCTCCTCTTCCTGACCAGGGTACTCAGTCACACGCCCCGAACCCCGCCTCTCTGCCCAGCCCCCCATTTCCGGAGCCTGCGCCCGGCACCCAGCTGGGGCTGGTCCCAGGGGGAAGGCCTAGATTCCTGTCTCCCCGTGCCTCCCTTACCTCCGCCGGGCTCTCCAGCCGCCCGGAGCCAGGAGCTGCGCAGGGACGAGGGCACCCACCTGGTCAGTGTCACATGCTGTCGCGGCCCAAGAGCCCCCTCCGGTCCCCGGCGCCGGCCGGCAGTCCCCAGCGCAGGCCCCGCCGCCCGCGCCGCCCCACCCGCGGCCCGCCCGGACGGGAGGGAGGGATCTGGTCTCCTCGGAAGTTTCAGGTGAGGAAACCAGGGACACACCTTCCCGGGGGAGGGGCAGGTCCCGGCGGCGGCCGAGCCTCATTGGTGTGAGGGGAGCTCCCGCGTCAGAGCTGGGGAGTGCCGGCCGGGCGGAGGACCGGGCGCCGCGGGCCGGCGGCGGGAGAGCGGGGCGGCGTGCGGGGCGCAGGCCGGGCGCACAGCGGCCGGCAGGAGGGACCAGAGGGCGCGGGCCGCACGGAGCGGGGGGGCCTCGCCTGTGTCCTGGTGTGTCTCTGAAAGCTGCTGCGCGTTTCTTCTCCCCTGTACTCAGGTCTTCACCTGCGCCTGACTCGGGACCATGCTGATCTGCCCTCTGTTGGTGTTTCTCTTTGGCTGGTCTGTGTCTCTGAATGTCTGAGTTTCTGTGTTTGTCTGTACATGCGTCTTTATCTTCGGGCCTCAATGTTCATTTCTCTTCTTGATGTCTACCTGTCTCTCCCTGCATGAGGAAGGGTGTATCCTACTCTCTCTTTCTCTGTCTCCCTAGGAGGCCATCTCTTACGGCCTAGGAATGTGCAGCTATGTATTATCTGAGTTCGTTTTAGGATGGTTATATATCTCAGGGTATGTGTTCCTTCTGTCTTCTTCCCAGGACGTGTGTATGTTTGTTTTTAAGTATCTAAGCCTCTGTCGCAGGCCTGTGTGTTTTTTTTTCTGATTCTTTCAGGGAAACCTTGTGCCCCAGTGGTCTTGGAGGCCAAGCCAGAGTGGGTCTATCTTTATACCTCTCCACAGACTTCAAAGAATGCCAAAATATTCTATGGTGCAGTCACACACACACAGTAAGAATCCTTCTTCTAGGGGACAGAGATTCTTGATATGTTCATTTTAGTCTGCTCAGCCCCCAACCCCACTCGTTACTCCAGGGGTTTCCGTGATGATATAAGTCAGGTAGAATCTTAATGGGCTGTCTGGCTGTTTTGTTCTTGGGAATGCCATCATCTATAAGCCCAAACAGCTAGTCAGTTAGACCATTTCCAGATTACTGTGCCCATTGGCTGCTGCATTGATCCTGGCTGACTGTGCTTACAAGGATTTTGAAGGGGGCTTTAGGACAGAATGTCATTAAGGTAGAATGGTCTCTTCTCCAATAGAGTCGTGAAGCATCTCTATGTTCAAAGAATGTGCTACTTTGCCCATATTACTTTGGCCAGAGAGGTTAGGCCCTAAATGGTTCAGCAGCCTTCAGCCTTCTCTATGCTGCCACGTAAGGTGTGGGAAGCAATGGGCAAAACCAAGACTAGAAGTTCAGGTACGTAAGGGCAGGCCTAGCACGTGTCATAAACCCAGCAAGGGAGTAAGAATGGAGAGTGCAGTAAGTCAAAAGGTTTAAGCTAGAACTGACTATTTCTAGGCTGGGAAAGAGAACTCAGTCCAAGGTATGAGAGCCCTTGATTTTGTTGACTGAGGAAAAATTCACTACAATTCAAAGAGCAGATATTTATCTGGGGAATTAGAATTGCAATTCCAGAGACACAGATTCAGGCAGAAACCCAAAATGTGCTCCGAGGAGGACAAAGGAGGCGAGGGTTTATAAAGGCAAAAAGAGATAAATCACACAGGTTGTTTTCCAAAATTTCATTGGTGCTGGCAACAACTGTTACTTCTTGGTTATACGTGATTGGTTGCTAAGGCCATCTCTAAGGTGGAAAGTTCTTATCTAGGGGAGCAAGCATATTTCTTGAAAGAAGGTCAAGGTGACAGCAGTGAAGCACAGTTCAGAAGTTACATTCCTTCTGGGTTGGGACATGGCGTGCATGCGTAAGCCCTACTTCCTTAATGGCCTCCCAGCTCCATTTTAGAAGTATGACATATGTTACTCCATTTTGTCATCGCTGTCCACAATTTCTAGTGGGTGAGCAAGGTTAGTAAATGTCTGGTCCTTGGGCTGAACTTGCTGATCTCTGCTATGTCCCATAGTGCCTGCTGGGAATGGGCAGTGTGGTCAGAGGAGCTGAAACTGCCCCCTGAACCAGCCTGGCTATTCTTTCTGCTCTGCTCGGGCTTCACTTGTTTCTCCTTGATTACAGCTCTCTAGCCCTTTGTTTTCTCTGGATGTCATGTCTCATAGACTTGACCTCCTCTTGTTCTGCCAGCTCTGGCCTATCAGCATTTTTGTTTTTTTTTTAAGTCACCACCCTTGATTCAGTGACCTCGGGGCTCTTGTCCAGAGAGTTAAGCATACAAGGCTTGACCTGACTTTTCAACTAGTAGTGAGATGTAGGAAAGTTAAAACTTATCACTTAGGGAGTTGGCTCTTGCCATGGAGCATCCCTGTCTGCAGGGTGTTTGCATATGCGGACAAATCTAGCTCTCCAGGCTCCTCTTCCCTTCACTTTGCAAACTGGGGTGTTCATTTTTGTTTTTTCCATTACTTGATACTTGCCCTTGGTGTGTGGGCTTCTTAAGCAGGCCTGTCATCCTATCCCGAGATTTTGATATTTTGTTTGGGCCTATATTTCCTCTGTAAAGGCCTAGAGAGGAGAGAGTGATACAGTGGAAAGAGGATGAGATTTAGATTCAGATGGGTGGATTTGAATCCCACCTTCACCACTTAACGCAAAAATTTGGCGTATTAACCTTCCTTTGCTTCATTTTAATCTTCATATGCTTCATTTTTTTAATGTCTTAAATGAGGATAATAATATTTAATAATACCTGCCTCACTGGGTTGTTGTGGTAATTCAATAAGGTAATACATCACCTTAGTACAGGTGTAGAAGGTGCTTGATACGGGTTAGTTTCCTTTCCTAACAGTGCGTGATAGTTATGTATGTTGAATGAATACGTTTACAATAACAAGGTGATAAGAGCTGGGAAAGGTAAACAGATTCAAAATAAAGTTATTTTAAAATAAGAGCTATATTAGATGGGGGAGAAAAAGAACAGGTTCTGGAATTGGGGGACATTTAAATTGGAGACAATGCCTTTGAGATCCAGCCATGGTGGGGGAAAGACAGAGAACTATCCTGTGTAGTTCTTGGTATTGAGACTAAAGGAATCACAGTGACCTTTTTGAAGCAGGAACTCATCAGTTATCCCTGGGGCTGTCACTGCTCTGACCAGATGTCCTCCTGGTGCCACCATCCGCGGTTACTGGCTGTGTGGGGTCCCACTTGGTTACCTCTGACTCTCAGTGGATCCAGTGCTAGTTCTTTGACTATTCCTCTGGCCTTTCAGACTGTGCTTTTTGCCTGATCCCATTAGCCCCCTTTGAACCTTTTTGAACTGATTTTGAACTCAGTTCTTTTCTTAACTTGGCTGACCGTGGTCTCTGGTCTCTCTGTCTTTCTCCGTTCAATCCACCCTGACCTGGCCAGTGTGATTCTTAACTATCCTGTTCCATTATGATGAATATATTTTTCTTTTCTCATCCTTGATTTCCCTTTATTTCTTTTCTCAACCTTTGCACATTGGCACTAGTCTAACTTTAATGCTGTTCAAGGTGTAAATACTGATTGCCTCATTCATTGTTTTTTGTTCATTTACTCAATATGCAGTTTTAGAAACCAGATATACAAAGACCAAGTCTCTGGCCCCAAGGAGCTCTCCATCTAATCGAGGAGAGAAACAGATAACAAATCACGATAGCAGAGCCTGATAAGTGTTATGTTGAGATCTACACAAAGTGCGGTGGAAGCCTGAAGCAGAGAGCCCTGCTCCGGCAAGGAGAGAAGCCTGAATGGATAAGGTGATGCTTGAGTTGACTTGTCCTAAAAAGACTCTGTTACCTGGTGGAGAGGAGTATAGGGGAAAGGCATACCAACACTAGAAATGGGATGTGGAAAAATAGAAGCCTGAGCACATTCTGGGAAGGGCAAATAGTGTGGGCTTAACATGAAGTGTGGTGAAGAAACGACAGGGAAGAAAAAGAAAAAAATCGTAACTATATAAGCTGATGGGTATCTTAATTAGCTTGATCGTGGTAATCATTTCACAGTGTGTATGTATGTGGAAACATCAAGTTGTCCATCTTAAATATATACAATTCCTATTTGTCAATTATACTCAATAAGGCTGAAAAAAAATCTTTTAGAGGAGCCCCATCTCTGGAAGAGTAAAGTCTAACCCCAGTAGCATGCATGGCCTACAAGATCCTTCATAATCTGGCTGCCTGACTCCACACTCTCCCCAGGTCGCTGGAGGCTCATAGTTCTTGACATTTCTCCTGTGTATATTTTTAACTTGGGTGCATATATCATAGGAAAATATACATGCCTCTGCATCTTATTCAATTGAGCGTCTCCAAAGAGTCTGGTAAATAATGTCTGAGAAGGACCACGTCTTTCCACAGAATGGTCACAGCTATGGTAGAGTGCCGGGAGCCATAGAGAGACAGCAGGGTCCTACCCTGCATTGCAGTAGCAATCCCTAGAAGTGCCATTATTCAGATGCAGATTGTCTCGATTGTTTTCAGTGCTTGGTTTTGGGATGTTTCTCAAGTTTCCTCAAAATTCTTGGAAGATAAGAATGGGGATGAGGATGATCCCTGATCACAAAGAGACTAAAACCGATGGAGTCCCTTTAGTGGAGTTCTGGCTCTATTGCAGTGTCTCTCAAACCTGGCAAATTAGAAAAATCTCCAGGAAAGATTTTTTTCTTTCTTATTGTCTGTTTGTTTGTTTTTAAGTGTCCCAGGTGATTATGATGAGAAGCTAGATTTGGGAATCCTGATATAAAAGCAGTGGTTCTTTACCAGAGGCTTCCGTTATAGTCGCCTGATGAGCTTTATGAATTTGCCCTTGCCCAAAACCTGTGGAGTTTCAATTCTGGAGATATGGAGTCAAGCAGAACTATTGGAAAATAGCTCCTTGCTGATTTGGATGCTTAATGATAATGAAGACCCTCTGATCTACAGCAGTGGTTTAAAAACATCTTTTATCCTACCTTCCATCAATAAAAAAAATT